GGGGCACCCGCCCGTTCTCGCGCTCTTCGTGCCCGCGCTGCGGGGCCGCCCCGCGCTCCGCRCCGTGTCTCGGCGCGCCCGGTGCCCGGCGTGTCGCGCACGTGAGAGCAGCCGCCCCCCACGTGGAGCGCCGCTGGATAGAAGGGGCCGTGGGGAAACAGGAAGCAAGCGGTTTAGTTGTGGTGTTTGTGCAGTAGGAGACACGGAATCACCCCGGGAATGTGTAACCCGGGTGTCCTGGCCGGTCTGGGCTGCTCCTGGGCGGTTTCTAAGGCAAACGTCGCTTCCCCTGGGAGGCTGCTGGGCCTGGAAGGGGCCGCAGGGCGGTGACAGACAGCGGCTGCAGCTCCGGGGCTCCATGAGGGCTCCCGATCCYGCCACCCTCCTCTCCGGGTGCCGTCGGAGCAGCAGCACCAGAGCTGCCCGGGTGCCATCCCTGCCCCACCAGTGTGAGATCCAGGCAGTTCCCGCTGCTCTCCGTGAGCTGCAGCTGCTSCCACCTGACAGGGCGTCCTTGGAGTCACCTGAGCCCCAGCCCCGCAGTGACACCCCGAGAGAGCCCTCAGCGAGACCCGTGCGGCTTGTAGGTGTGAGACGGCAGTATCAGTGGCAAGTTGTGGAGTTTTTAATAGTGGGAACAAACCTTTTGTAAGYATTTGACACATGGGAGCTGACACGGTGACACTGCCACTGTGTTGTGACACCAAAATAACCCTTTGCTGGTCAGAAATCCCGCAAATCCAGTCACGGGCCTAGGGCTGAACGTGCTGCTTGGGGGTGGCAGGTCATTGAGGACGTGCAGGGTTTTCAGCAGCGCAAGGGAGCCCGGAGGCAGAGCGGCTGCTTGACGGCTCTGCATCTACAGCTSTGTGTTAGCTGTAGGTACTAAAGCAAGTGCCCTTCACCAAGCCGACAGCCACCGTAACGAGTCCAGGTATAGAAAATTCACGTGCTGGAGAGTTAGTGGTAGAGCTTGGTAGACGTTTTACCTTTCCATCTTATTGGTGGGCTCTGTGAAAGGGAGAATCAGCAATTTTGTTGATAAATAAATGAAATTCATGACTTTGAGTGCCACAGAATTAGAGGGTAGTTGAGGTGGGTCAGGAGCGCTGGAGATCTGGTGCCGCTCACTTGGGATGGTCTGTGGGCTTTGAGCATCTCCAGGGAGCAGGTCCTCATGCTGGCAGGTCCATAGAGGCCCAGGAGARCCCTTCTTGCCCCCTCTAGGTTTTTGGAAGACAAACACGAGCTGCTTTTAGGAGGTGAAGCTGTGAGCAGGTGGCTCGAACGGTGGCAAAGAGACTTCCAGCGCCGTGGTCAGGGGTCCTTGTCGACACAGCCTCGACCAAGCCTTGTTCGTGCTTGCTCTCTCTGTTCAAACACGCAAATGTGTGGCAGGAAAGTACCCRTCTCCCAGGCTTCATTCAGAGGCAGGACACTGGAGTAGAGTATTGGAGCGAATATATCTGGATCTTCTCCAGCACCAGCTTTGCTGGRCTTGGTTACACCAACTGGAGTGCGAGTAGGATGTGCCTGGTCAGGAGATTCTTGTGCTAATACAAGAGTGGAGAATGAATATGAGATAAGGAGCATTTAAGAGGTAGGATGAGACYTCACAGAGAAGGGCTGGACTGGGAGGTGGGAATGGGACACCTGGCCTGGGAGCACCCCGGCTGGGCCTTATCAACAGCAATCCCTGTGCGCAGAGCAGTGGGTGCATGGGATTCTTCCACATCCCTGGGAATGTGGCCAGGGATTTTTTTAGATGGCCARTATTTATCTGTGGTAAGCTACGCCTGGTAATCGGGCAGAAGGGAGGTGGGAAACTCCTTTTAATTAAAAGGATGATTCGTGRTTACACAGTGACTGTAAGCGAGATGATGAAAATGGCCTAGCAGAGCAGTGTTGCTCTAGAAATTTGCCCGGGACTTTTAGAAGTAATAGTGAATTTGGTTGTAAAGGAGAAAATGAGACCCTGGCTTTTGTACATAAAACATCGGTGCTTAAAGGACCCCAGTTTGTCGTGGCTTGGTCCAGCAGTGGGTTCYTCCTCACACATTGAGGGAAGTGTGTTCCGAAAGCAGCTCGAGCCTTTCTTGGGTTTGGATCATCCCTCTTGGCCCCTGGGTAGGAGTGCGAGAGCCCGGCAGTGATCAGCAGATGCCTCTGTTCATGTTCATACTCTCACTGCGAGTAACTGTGAATAAATGAGATGTTTTGTTTGTAAATGTAAATCAAAACTAGGAACCCCTTGTGGTGCACGTACGCCAAATGCTGAGCCAAGAGCCTTCTCCTGTGTCCTGCTCCGTTCCCAAACGCTGCTGGTAGGAGCAGATGTGTTTGAAGGTGGGAGGACAAAACAGGCAGGGCCATAACTAGGTTCCAGGGGTAATTGCAGAGGTGTAACCAGCTCATTAATTAATGAAAATGAATGCCCTGGAGATACTAATATTGCAGCTAATGCTCTCCAGAAAGGCTGGCATGGGGGGCTTGGAGCCAGGGCTGATTTCCAGGTGAGCGTTGGTCAAAATGAAGTTGTGAAAGACACTGAAAATTCAATCTGAAGAGATTAATGCAGTAGACTTTTTCCCCTCTTGTTTCATTTGGTTGAGCTGTGTGGGTAGTGCTGAAATACTTTGCTTTGTGCTTGCTGGTGCTGCAAGGCCCCGCTGAGAGGCAGAAACGTGCAGCAGTCGCCTGCGGAAGGAGCCTYTTACTGGTGAGGGTCAGTGTGGGAGCACGGGAAGCTCCACGCGCGCTTCTGGAGGGGCGAGTGCCAGGCACTTTCTGATCATGATCCCGTGTTTCTGCCCTGTTTGTGTGGGCGGGAGAGGGGAGCGCCGAGCACGGCAGAGCCTCCCTGGCTGCCAGCGACGGCCCCTTGGCCGCCGCGCTGGAAAAAGCAGCGATCCCTGTTCCTGCCTTTCCTCTGTGTCACTGTGTGACAGGGGGAGCGAAACCACGGATCTGTGTGTTGTTTATTTTCATACATAAAAAGACATAGAGAAACTTCTCTGATTTTTTTTGTAAATTTCTCTCTTTATATATATGTATATGTATATTTCCTTTTTTTTTTTTAAAAGGAAAGTTGCTTCATTGGCCCGCAGACCTCAGCTGCTCCTTTTGTGACTTGCATACAGCTGTCCCATGAGGCCTGCATTCCTCTTCCAGCAGTTCTTTTTGTTTCCTTATTTATTTTTGCAAAGAGACGACAGAGCTTTTTCCTTTTCTCCTTACTGCTTGGGTCAGTGGAGTTGACCGAGTCTTTCAGGTTGCCCTTCGCTTGCAGCGAAGATACAGAGATAAAACCCTTGAGCAACGTCCTCCCTATTAACCAGAGTCTGCTGAAATTCCACCCTCACCTCAGCAATTCCATCCCCGTGCCAATCTGCTTTCCCTCTCGCAAGCAGCTGGGTTATTCACTCTTGCAGAGACAGCCTTGGCCTAGGAGGAAATAGGTGCGGGATGAAACGAGCGGATCTGTTATTTTGGGGAGCTGAAGGGATGTTCAGACGTGTTCCCTGCCTGATCCTTGCCTTATCCCTCCTTTGCAGAACTGCCGCTGCGGGAGAGCCGCACTCCRGCCGCCGCGGCCGCTCCGGCCGTGYCGCGGATACGCCGCCGCTCCAGACGGATCGGGGTATGTGCTGGCCGGGGACACTGCGGCTGCGGCGTGTCCACCCAGAGCCAACCTGCCCTGAGCTCCACGTGGGGCTTGGTGGGGGCGCTGGGGGGATCTTGAGCCASTGGGAATCCCTGGATCTGCTGTTTGCTGCTGATGGAATTGGCCATCAGTGGCGTTCACCGAGGCTCTTCGGAAGGGAGACCCTCGGTGAGGTCCTCGTTGTCCCTCTGGGGCTCGGAGTGGTTCAAGGTGGACTCGGGGTTTATTTTTTGACAAACTTCTGGAACAAAGCATAGTCTTATAGGTCTGCAGTCCATTTGACAGCTGCTTGTCCTATCACTGATACATTGACACAAACAGCTTTTGCCTTTTTTTTCCCCCTGCAGTGTTTCTATAGGTAAAATTATTGGTGCAGGTCTCCTGTTTGTGGGTGGAGGAGTAGGTGGCACCATCTTATACGCCAACTATGACGCCCGGTTCCGGGAGAACGTGGAGAGGACTGTTCCCTACTCCGAGAAGCTCTTTGAGATGGCGCTCGGCCCCGCGCCCCACAGCGTGACGACCCCAAAGAGATCGGTGAGCRCTGCCCCCTCGCCTCCCCTCCCTGCTTTCCCTTCTCGTCGAGAGCACAGCTGCTCTTTCTTTGCGAATTCTGACCAAGCTTGGCGTGTACTGGCTTTGGAGATTGATTTTCATGAATTAGAGTTGTAGATTTTTTATCCCTCCTTGAAAATACCCAGTACTGAGCTACACRGTAGGTTCTTTCCCATTTCACACTTCTGCTTCTTGCTGTGTGAATTACCCACTAAACAGAGGTACCATTTCCTTAGTGCTGCGTGAAGGAGTGATGCTTTTACCTTCGCCGTTATCASCTTGCTGTGATTATGGTCCCTGGCTTGCAAAACGGTCACTTGGACTTACCTGGATGTAAAATARTCCATTGAAATTGTAACTGAGTAGCTGGAATGCTTATACTCACACCTAATCTGGCCAGAAAGGGGTAGGCAAACACTGTAATTTAACCATTTTGCCCTGGCTAAAGGTTCAGTGCACTTACTGGCARAGCTAGATGAAGAAAACTGAATTTCTTTTAAAGAGCACAGAGAACTTCTAAAATCCATAGTACTGTGAATAGTTTGAGCCCCAAAAAGATGAAAATATTTTTGTTATGAGTTTAAGAAAGCTGTCCCAGATGGAATGGGAGAGTTTGCATGTTGATGAATCCAAACTGTGTCTCATCTGAGTTCGTGGTCGTCCACGTTCTTCGTGCCTCCTGGGCAACAACTAAACCAGGAACTTGGGTGACTAGCAAATGCTTTTGTTCTTGCCTTGTGGCTTTGTATGCTGGATAGGAGGAGATAAAGTACTSCAAGGTTTTATGGTATTAATTAACTTTTGTTTGTACTGAGCTCTGCCACTGCTGTATGTGCAGTTCTGGAGTGATGAAAATTATACAGACTCTCCCTAAATTAAAAATCAGGGTAGGAAATAATATGGCCTGGTTAGTGTTTCCATATGTACCTTGAAGTTTAGATGTAGGGCAGAGCCCTGTGGCCGCACAGATGTTCTTTTCCAATGTAWTGGGCTCAGTGAGACTCAGGCTGGTTAGAAAGCTGGTAACATTTCCTCTTTTTAATCTTCAAGGTACAGCAAGGCCCCCTGAAGATCTCCTCTGTAGCAGAAGTAATGAAAGAATCTAAACAGCCAACGAGCAAATCCCCAAAGAGCAAAGCAGAGGCTGCTCCTTCGCCAGAAGAAAAGGAAGGTAACTGTACCAGACATCACACAGAGCAAGACAAAATAGCTAACGTTGTCCTGCGTTACACCTTTATTGTAGACTAAGGAGGTCTTAAGCTGTGGTTTAAAATTAATATAATTTCATGGAAGTAATGTTATTTTCTATCCTAGTCATAAAGGAACTATTTCTGTTGAGGAAAAAACTTAGAAGCCTATATATTCCTGTAGTTGCTTTTTAGCACATATATACTAACTGGTTTTGCCTTACAGCACATATGTACTAACTGGTTTTGTTCTGTAACCGCAGCAGGCACCACTGCAGCTCAGGTCATCTCTGCCACAGGTGAAGCTGTGTCAGTGCCAGCTCCTGGGATGCAGACTGAAGAAGGTAAAAAGAAATGCATGAGCAGCATGGGGCAGCCCGAAAGCTTGTCTCCTTGGGTGCGTAGGTTCTTGTGTTTTTAGTCGGTTTTTAAAGGTGCCACCCTTGGTGCCTTTCTTAGAAGCAAGACTTTCCATGGCTTTTGGCACGCTGAGGAGCTGAGTTTGGTGCTGGGGCAGGTGTAGCTGTGAACTCGAGAAGGAATCCTGCCTTTTTTTCTTGTGCTGATCAGGCAGTTGTACAATGAGCTCTGCCTCTGCTCCCTGCGGCTTTTCTGATGCAGAAAATCGTGTCTGCCCAGAAATAAGTGAAGGAACTGAACTTAATATTTAACACTGTATGAGACACTYATTTCTTTATCATGGTCTCTTTCAGATAATCACAGAATCACAGAATCGTTAAGGTTGAAAGGGACTTCTAGAGATCATCTAGTCCAACCCMCCCCGCTCAAGCAGGGACACTTAAGATTAAGACTATTAATAGATTATTAATTGAATATTTTGTGATTCTGTGATTATTAATTGTTAATATAATAAGATTATATTAATTTCTTTACACATTAGCAGATTTCAAAAAAAATACATCAGCAGTTAGTAAAATGCATCCTGCAGAGTTGGCATGAGCATGAGAAGGGGGTTTCCTGCTGATTTTTGTTGCAGTTTGAGTCTGGGAGCTGAGACCTCTGGGTTGTCTCCAGTTCATTTTCACATTTGCTGTTGAATTTGAGAGAATCATTTAGCTCAGTGATCTCTCTGTTTTGGAAAGCAAAGGTGTCTCAGTATCATTGGGCTGGGAAATAGAAAACAACCTTGATTTGCCTTTTCCCTAGTTTTTCTTTACTCTGGCTGAACTTTGCAAGGCTACCAAAGGGGCACTGAAAAAATATGAGCAGATATTTAAAGTCGAAACTTCTTTACCTTTCACTTTTCAGTTTTTGTAACCAGACAGCATAAAATTTACAGGTACATATGATGAAGTATTCATGCAGCTGCTCATTTTGTAAAACTTTGAGACTGCCCTTTGAAATTATGATTCTTAAAAAAGCTTGAGGTAGCTCTAGGATGGCTTTATGTGGGAGTGAAGTTCATGAAGCAATACCAGTTATGAAAATGGATTGAATAGAGGAGAATTGCCTCCCTAAAAACAACCCGGGTACTAATTTAGACTCTCCACTAAAACGATTTTACTCTTTCTGAATAGATAAACAACAGGAAGATTCCCATGCCATAAAGGAACGGTCACCAGAGGAGGTTGCAGCCCGGCTTGCCCAGCAAGACAAAGAGGAACAAGAGAAGATATCAGGTAAATCCATATCATTAAATGACCRTTGCCTTAGTTTTCTGTGTAGGTTATATGCAACAACAGAAAATTGCTGGGCTATGTTGGCTTTGGAGTCTAAATTGCTTGTGCACCTCGGGTTTGGCTGTATTTTTTTGGCAGGACGAGTTGTTCAAGGCTCTTAGTGACCCTCCACTGCTCTCCCCTAAGTTAGCTGGTATTTTTCTTATGCTGAGGTCTAAAAATGAGACACAATACTCCACCTGTGTCTGAGAAATAAGATGTTAAACTGAAAAAAAAAAACAAAGGAATATTTACTGGGAAGGTGGATTTATTTTCTCTGTTATTAGGAAATAAATGTCTGGCTCCAGTAGTTGGTAGTTCTGCTGTTTTGCTTTGGATCTTTCTGGAGTCATGAGTAGGTGCTGTCTGCTTCCATACCAGCAGCAGCAGTTGTTTCTTCCACTGGCTTCTCTGCTGGGATACAAACTTTTCCTTGGGGAAGAAGGGAATAGCCGCACACACTTTCTTGTACTAATCGTATTAACAAGCAGAGAWAGAAAATACCTCTTGTATCAAACGCACCTCCCTGCAGAAGTATRATTATGTCTTCCACTGAATGCCTTTCTTAGATGGATATTTAGTTAATAATCTGTTTACAGATTATTACAGAGGGAGCTGCAGGAAGTGCAGGCTTACGGCTTGTTACTCATTTCCTAAAAAGAGGAGTGTATTCCCATGACTTCTCCTCCTCTGTGGGCTCCAGCGTAGTTCCCAAACCGACCAAATCTTGTGTGTCACGGARAATAACTCGAGGAGACTTTCGAGGACCTGGGGGGGATATGATGGCTCCTTGGCAGGTTCTAAGGCTCTCCTTGTGCTGACCTACCCCGTTGTGTTTCAGCGCTGGCGGCGGCGCTGGAGGGAGCCCTGAGCGGCAGCGCGCGGGTGACGCTGCAGGCCGTGGCGGCGCAGGAGCGCGCCGTGCAGGCGGTCAACGCGCACGCGCACACCCTCCGGGAGGCCATGGACAACTCCGAGGTGACCGGCAGGCGGCAACCTGCCCGCGGATCCTTTTATCCATCTTAAAGTTTTTCCATCTTAAAGTTTTCTTGCAAGTGGCTTTATTGCAGCTTTATTTGAGTAATCTTCCCACTGTGTAGTTCAATAGTAAAGTGTTTGTGATTTTGACTTTTTTTTTTTGTTTCTTCACAGTATCTTTTCTCAGTGTCTTTTCTTCACAGTATCTTTTCTTCTCACAGTATCTCCACATTTTGCAAGTGGAGAAATTCCAGTTATATTCTGATAGCCTTGACAGTTAATGCTTCATTGCGTTTTCATTTCCAACTCCATTTTAACCTAACTATAGTCAAGGTGCCACACTGTCTATCCTGATAAGTCTGCTCAATGGTTCCCTGTGCCCAWGTGTTGCTGGTGGGTTGTGTTTCCCCATCTGGAATACATTTGCCATGTCTGGAGCTGCCTGGGGGTGCATTAACTATCCCAGCTCATGGTTCTGGTGCCCCTGAACCCGCCTGCCTTCATGCAGAGCAGGTGGTATCATCTAGTGGTTGATCAAATGAAAAGGGGCGTCTGCCCAACTCTGCAAGCACCCACGGTCTCATCTTGTAGTTGGTACAAAGATGTTAATGAGAGGGTTGTTTCTCCTTTTCCCTAGTTGTTGTGATTGCAGTAACTAGTTACAAATCTGCTTTTTAGACCGCTGGGGAGAAGAAATCCACTCAGTGGCGCACACTGGAGGAAGCACTGAAGGACCGGAGAAGAGCCGTGGATGAAGCTGCTGATGCCCTCCTCAAAGCCAAGTATGTTGCTTGTTTTCAGGACTGCTCAAGGGGTAAYGTCACCCGTGTGGCAGCTGCCAGGAATTACATGAGTTTCTGTAAAGCAGGCAGAGTGCCCTGTACACGTCAAACTGATGTGTTCAGGACAAATCRATACTGTAGTCTCTTGATTGGTAGCTTGTACTTGTTTGGTGCCTGTGCTCACAGTCCTTTGGGTGCCAGAGAGTCTGAAATGGTTTTATTCCTCTTTTTAAAGATTGTCTTTTATCGCAGCATTTTCATCGTAGAGCTGGTAGATGGGAAACATCCRTAGAGGTGTCCAGTGAATGCAGGCAGCAGGAAGAAGTTTTGTCGAGGACTATGTCGTGGGACATGTACGAGTTGTAATTGGCAGCTTCTCTTTTCAGAGAAGAGTTAGAGAAGACAAAATGTGTCATTGAGAATGCCAAGAAGTCTCAGCTCGCGGGAGCAAAACCCCACATAGCTGCTGCAGAGGAGAATCTTCATCACATGATAGTYGACTTGGACAACGTAGTGAAAAAGGTGAGTAGTTAGGCCAGCTCACAGGCTTATTGGCTAATAAGATAATGTAGTAGTTGGTCCATTAGCCTAATAGCCCACTGTTTGTTTAGCCTTGTAGTGGCACCATCACAGCTTAATGAGGGGAAGGCAGCTATCACAGGGCTAGCTTGCTGCACCTCCATGATAGCTGTAAGCCTGTCTGGAAGCAAATTGCTCTGTAGCAGAGGAAAAGAGCTAGGTGTCTGTGAAGGCAGATAGAGACCAAATTGATGATGCTCCTTGGGACCCATCCAGGCTATAGGTTATCTAGTTAAAGTGCATTTGACAGAATGGACTTGTGATAGTTCCAAGTAACCCTGTGCCACATGCTGTAGGYGTGCCTGCTTGAGCAGGAAGGTTGGACTAGATGATCTCTAGAGGTCCCTTCCAACCTTRAATATTCTGTGAATCTGTGAATCTGTATATGGGAGACTTAAGATCACGGGGTATCTCACACAAAGCAAGTTTGCTTTAGTTGGGCTGGAGAGGAAACGGCACCCACATGTTTCTGACATCAATATTTGCCTTGGAAAATAACCATAATCATATTTTGTTTGTTGTAGGTTCAGGCAGCGCAGTCTGAGGCCAAGATAGTAGCTCAATATCACGAGCTTGTGGCTACAGCCAGAGAAGAATTTCAGCGAGAACTTGATAGCATCACTCCAGATGTGCAGCCTGGCTGGAAGGGCCTGAGTAAGTCTCTGATTGCAGCTTTGCTTCAGAATCTGTTGTGTGCCAGTCATTCTGCTTGCCAGCATTCCTACAGTTATAACCACTCGATGGAATGTCCAGCTTCCTCTTTTCCATGTTTGATTAGAAACTGAAATTAATTCACACTTAAGTAGTGTAAAGCAGGTGTTACAAAATGTCTTATAAACTACCTGCACTGTGTTTGATATTTCATAAAATGTAGCTTGTGTAGTAAAGATCATGTAGCTTTTTAAACACRTCCTCCCTGCGCTGTCCTTCCAGGGATAGAGAGCCCTGGAAGGCTCCATGGAAGCCCATGTCCTGCACAGAGGAGAGCAGGGCAGATGGCATTTCAGGCAGGGCTGTTCCCATTAAAGCAGTTATTCATGGCATTAGCATCTGTCCTGTTCCCATTAACATGAATTTGTGGTGGCAGGACAGCTACAGAACAGCTGTGCCCGAGTCCCTGCTATATCATAGCAAATTATTCGCAGTAAATGAATTGGGCTTTATGACCTCTAGTATTGTCGTGTTCTGTACTGCATGACATGGTGCTGATTTGGTGTAAATTAGGGTTCAGACATAGGGTTTCTTTTTGTAGTAGCAGCTAATCCACCACATTTGAACAGTTCTTGTTACTGTGGAAGGAAGGGCCATACCTAGAAACACCGTAAAGCCAACATAAAATCTGCCACGTGCTCTGCCAGATGTGAGAAATAGTCCTGTGGTCACTGTAGAATTGGATCAAATTTGTAGTGCCTGGTCATCAAGTAGTTCTGTGATTGTCAGGGTAGCTTTATGTGGAGTAACARAGAGCTCCTTGAGGTTCTCTAGGTCATCACTGAAATGACAGAGAATTTATTGTCCTTTTTGGATATGGAGCAGCTACTGCATAGCTTGTTAGTGGCTCCTAGACTAAATTCATGCCAAATGCTCTCTCACTGTAAAATTACAACCTGAGGTGTCTTTCTGTGATGAGAGAAGCTTGTGCTTGCAGCCTGGAGCCTTTCGCAGGGGGTGGCACATGTGCATGCAAGGGAAGCTGCTTGGGTCGCTAGCACTGAGCTGCTSTTGGGAGCTGGAAACTGCTTTTTTTCTATAACTCCTTTTAAAATAAAGAAACAACTCCCAGAACCATGTCCCACCTGCTTGGTTCCCTCCTTTCCCCTTCTGTACCCTTCCTCTTCCAGCATGTGTTGTTTCTAAACTAAACTGACACAGTAACTTGTGTTGAACTATGGTCCACGCTGCCCAAAAGCAGTGAAGAGATGTCTGGTTTTTCCTCCTTTCTTTCTTTCTTTCTGTGAATATTACTACAATTCTTTACCTGAGATCTGGGTAAGCTGCTGTGGTGTGTCTGCACCCCTCCTTTTGCTAGGACCATTAAACATCAGTCTATGAGTTTCTACAGGTGATTTTCATGGTTATAGGATGTTTTGGGCTACATCTTGTAAAGCACAGAGACCGTAATGTGCACCATAATGTGCTTTCTAAATTCCTAAAGACTCAAACTCCTGCTTAAGTCACTCTGTTAGGAAGCTCTTCATAAACTGCTTTCCTTTCTACTTCTGCATGATGAACTTGCTGCCCTGCACGTGCATTAACTGCTGCTCCCTCTGCTTTCTGTTGCAGACATAACCGACCTAGGTGAGTTGTCTGCCGTTGTCCCGTGAAGGGGCCACCTCTGCCCCTTGTCCTTCCTCCCGTTCGTGTTGTGCTTCACTCCGCACTACGGGCAGTGTCCACTGAGTTGATTCCCAAAGCCTTCCAGCCCGAGGTGTCCTCTGGGGTCACACTTGGCTTGTGTAGCTTAACCCACCCCCTTTGCCACAGGGCAYTGCCCAGGTGAGTGTGATGATTCCTGGCTTGGAAAAGCCAAGTTTACSTTTCTCTCAAATTCAGGCAAATTTAAGCCTCTCAGTGTCTGCTCAGGAGATGCAAATGGGACTGAGAAACTTTGCTGTGATTAAGCTGCCGGTCTGAAGGGTCACCCGAAGGGATTCAGCTAAATTGAAGCTGGCTTGATTCTCTGAACRTCATTTTATCTTTTTCTCTGAAAATCATTCAGTCCTCTGTGTTGATTTTTCACAGCAGTGATTGGCTTTTTGATTAAAAGGAGGGGAAAAACATGAACCTCAGAATCAAACCTAACTTAAAATCCATAAGTAAAAACCAGTTGTAACTTCCTGAGCTCGGCCGGGTCCCAGCGGGCCCTCCCGCTCCAGCCCCATGCCCAGCTCCCACCCGCTCCTGCTGCGGGATCCGGCCGCCTTCGGCCCCGCAGCAGCGCTCGGCCTCAGAGCAGTCCCCCATTTTCCACACGAGCAAAGCGGCAGCCAAGCTGAGAGACACAAACCCAGCTTGGCTTCAAACCGAAGCCCTTGCGAGTGCTGGGAAAGGGCTTGGGATGCGGGAATGATGTTGGCCGCCCTTGTGCAGCCGGTTAGCCTGGGTTATCCCTGGTTAGCTGGTTATCCCTGGTTAGCTGGTTATCCCCGGCTGCCCCGCGGCCCTGCCGACCCCTGCGCTCCCCTCAGCCGGGCAGCTGTCGCCGGACGACCTGAACTCGCTCGTGGCGCACGCGCACCGGCGCATCGAGCAGCTCAACCGGGCGCTGGCCGAGCAGCGCGTGCGCGAGCAGCAGCGCATCGAGGCCGCCCTCGAGCAGCAGAAGCTGGAGGACAAGAAGGCGCTGGAGGCGGCCGTGGCCAAGGCGCTGGAGCGTCACAAGGACGAGATCGAGCTCGAGCAGGAGAAAAAGGTGAAAATGCAGCACRGCCCGAGCGGCCGCAGGGGCACTGRGCTAGGGAAGGGGCACGAAGGATGTGGGGTGAGTTGGGGAAGGCTTCAAACATGGGGCGCTGCTTTGCTAAGTGACCTGCTAGGGGCAGGGGGCTGTGAAGGAACCCTCTTCGTTAAGAAAAGTGGCAGCTTTAACATGGACYTTTGCAGCCTGTTAAGACGAAACGTGGGCTCTGTGGGTGGGATTGCTGTAGCATGTGCCCTAAGCGGTCGCTGGTGGGTAACGTGACTTTAGTTTCTTGGCAAGGAGCTGAGAGGCGGGTGGTAACTGCTGCCTTGGGTACAGATCGAGGAGGTGCGGGAGGTGATGGAGAGCGAGATGAGGACGCAGCTGCGGCGCCAGGCGGCTGCGCACACCGACCACCTCAGGGACGTCCTGAAGATCCAGGAGCAGGAGCTGAAGGTGGAATTTGAGCAGGTAGGAATGTGCCGAAATGCAGGAGGTGCTGGGAGGTGCTTGTAGGACCCCGCGGAACGCGCAGCTTGCGGGACACGAGGCCCGGAGTGRCTCTGAACATGGAGGTGGAGGCAGGAAAGAAGCCCGGTCCTTGGGAGGGGGAACCTGCTCAGGCACCATTCCCGTCATCTGGCACTAACTGCCCAGAGTGCGTGGACAGGGGCCTTCTCCCRGCTTTTCCTAAGGGCTTTTGCTTTGGGTGATGACTTCTCGATAAGTATAAAAACTAGTGCCTGTTAGGGTGAATTCATGTGCAGAGTGGAAGACAACAGAGTTAAACAGACGTTTCGCCACTGTGTTTCAGAAYTTAGCAGAAAAGCTGAGCGAGCAGGAAATGCAGTTCCGCCGCCTCACGCAGGAGCAGCTGGACAACTTCACGCTGGACATAAACAGCGCCTACGCGCGGCTGAAGGGGATCGAGCAGGCGGTGGAGAGTGAGCGCCGGCCCTGCCCCAGCCCCGACCCGCTCCCGTCCCCCCGGCCCTCGCCAGCCGGGAGCCTCCGCCGGGGTCAGGCAGCGGCAGCCTGGGGTTGGAGAGACCGCCCGGGGTCCCTTATGAGCAGGGAGCAGCTGATACCCAGGATGGGGGATGATGCCGGATATTCACTGGGAGGGGGACCGAGCCCTGGAACAGGCTGCCCGCGGAGGCTGTGGAGTCTCCTTCTCTGGAGATCTTCCAAATGCACCTCARTGCCACCCTGTGCCACATGCCCTAGAGGTCCCTGCTGGAGGAGGGTGGGTTGGAGTAGAGGATCTCTGAGGTCTCCCGACCGCAGCCTTTCTGTGATTGTGTGTGGTGGGGGCTCAGCCTTGCTTTGAGCACAGGGGCTAAGGGGGCTGCCGTTGAAAATGAACGCCGTGAGGGGAGTTTGTTCTTGCTGCTTGTGTTGAGATGCTTCAGTGCTCAGCACCTTGCCTAAGTTAAGCCCGACTGACGGTGCCTCCCTCCGTGTGTGTGGGCGCAGGTCACGCGGTGGCGGAGGAGGAGGCGCGGCAGGCGCACCAGCTGTGGCTCGCCGTGGAGGCCCTCAAGCACTGCCTGCGGACGGCGTCCGGGGACGGCCCCACGGAGCCGCTGGCGGGCGCCGCGGCGGCCGTGCGCGCCAGCTGCTCGGGCGACGCCTTCGCGGCGGCGCTGGCGGCGGCGCTGCCGGCGCAGTCGCTGGCGCGCGGCGTGTACAGCGAGGCGGCGCTGCGGAGCCGCTTCCGCGCCGTGCACCGCCTCGCCCGCCGCGTCGCCATGGTCGACGAGACCCGCAACAGCCTCTACCAGTACTTCCTCTCCTACCTGCAGTCGCTGCTCCTGTTCCACCCGCAGCAGCTGAAGCCGCCCGCCGAGCTCAGCCCCGACGACCTGGACACCTTTAAGTTACTGTCTTACGCGTCCTACTGCGTCGAGCACGGAGACCTGGAGCTGGCGGCCAAGTTCGTCAACCAGCTAAGAGGAGAGTCGAGGCGAGTGGCGCACGACTGGCTGGCCGAGGCGCGAACCACGCTGGAAACGAAACAAATTGTGGATATCCTGACGGCCTACGCCAGCGCCGTGGGGCTGGGCACCACCCAGGTGCAGTAGGGCAGCAGCGGAGCGGGGGGCACTTGGAGGGCTGTGCTGGCCAGAAAGCCACCAGGCTCCACGGGTTGCAGAGCAAGCGGGCGCAGGGGCTGGGAGCACTACAGCCCAGCGCGGGCCCGTCCCGTCTCCTCGCACTGTGTTTCACTTGACCACCCCCTGCCCCGTTCGTCTTGGTTCTGAGGTAGCACGAGGGCCTCCCTCGGGAAGCTCCTCTCCCATCTGTGTAACGGTTCTGTTGCTCCGTCTTGCCACCAGGGCTCGTGATCCAACCCGAATAATGTTTGTAACCCGTCAGTACTGATTGGCCGCTCTGTCAGCTGAATAAAACCATATTTCAACCACTCTCTCCTGCTGTTCAGCTTCCTATTTACAAGAGCAACTTGCTCAGTGACCTGAGGAAGACTCAGCTTTTTTCTTTTCTTTTTTTTTTTTTTTTTTTTAAATCTCAACTCCCTTTTCCAAGGAGCAGGAATTCACCAACGCACTCAAAGGGCTCTCCAGTAACGCGTACATCAGGTTTGGACCATCCACATGGGCGCAGGTTTAAACTAGCTCAGAGGGACGTGCGGAGCTGGTTCAGTGACCGCTGCRGGGCCTGTTTCCCACGAGCTGCACTGCCCGGGGCAGGGACACCACCCATGGTTGTTGCAGCCTTCAAGCTGAAGCTTCTYCAAGCTGCCCCTGCTGGGCTCATTATTCAGCCTCCTGCCTCTCCCCTACCACCCCACTGACCTCTCAGGAGGCCTTTTTCTTTCCACAACTAGAAGCAGTCAAAAGATTTGATTAAAAACGGCAAGGAGGGAGATCCAGGCAGCTGCAGGCCAGTCAGCCTCACCTCCATCCCTGGGCAAGAGAGGGAACAGCTCATCCTGGCTGCTGTCTCCAAGTGCATGGAGCACAGGAATTTGCTCAGGAAGAGGCAGCAGGGATTCACGAAGGGGGAATCAGGCTTGACTGAGAGCTTCTGTTATGGAGTGACTGGCTGGGTAGATGAGGGCAGAGCAGTGCATGTCTGGATCTATCTGGACTTGAGCAAGGCTTTTGACACTGTCCCTCACAGCATCCTCCTGGGCAAGCTCCAAAGGTGTGGGATAGATGTGTGGACGGGGAGGTGGATTAGGAATTGGCTCGATGGCAGGGTGCARAGAGTGGTTGTCAATGGTGCGGAGTCCAGCTGGAGGCCTGTACTTAGTGGTGTCCCCCAGGGGTCAGTTCTCGGTCCGGTCCTGTTCAACTTATTCATTAACGACCTGGATGAAGGGCTGGAGTGCTCCCTCAGCAAGTTTGCCGACGATACCAAACTGGGTGGAGTAGCTGATAGCCCTGAGGGCTGCGCTGCCATCCAGAGGGACCTGGACAGACTGGAGGACTGGGCGGCGAGAAACCTCATGAGGTTCAACARGGGCAAGTGCARGGTCCTGCACTTGGGGAGGAATAACCCTGGACACCAGTACAGATTAGGGGTGGACCTGCTGGAGAGCAGCCCCGCAGAGAGGGACCTGGGTGTCATGGTGGACGACAAGTTGACCATGAGGCAGCAGTGTGCCCTGGTGGCCAAGAAGGCCAACGGGATCCTGGGGTGCATTAAGAAAAGCGTCTCCAGCAGGTCGAGGGAAGTGATCATCCCCCTCTACTCAGCCCTGGTGAGGCCACATCTGGAGTACTGCGTCCAGTTCTGGGCTCCCCAGTACAAGAGGGATGTGGAGCTGCTGGAGAGAGTCCAGCGCAGGGCTACCAGGATGATCAGRGGCCTGGAACATCTGCCCTGTGAGCAAAGGCTGAGGGAGCTGGGTCTGTTCAGGCTGAAGAGAAAAGGCTGAGAGGGGACCGGATGAGTGTCTATAAATACCTCAAGGGAGTGACAAACTGGAGCACCAGAAGTTCCACAAGTTAAGGAAAAATTTCTTGGCAGTGAGAGTGACAGAGCCCTGGCACAGGCTGCCCAGAGAGGCTGTGGAGGCTCCTGCTCTGGAGATCTTCCAAACTCGCTTGGATGCAGCCCTAGGCCATGTGCTCACAGTGACCCTGCRTGTGCASGAGGGTTGGACTCCAGCTGGTCTCTAACGGTCCCTTCCAGTCCTTATGTATTCTATGATTCCTTGCACAGAGCTAAAGCTGTAGCTCCCTGCCTGGGACCATGGTTTAATGCCCAGCTGAAGGAACACGGCTGCCCTGGCACTTCCAGCCAAACTGCCTTGGCCAAGACCTGCAGGAGTCTCTGACAGGCTCAGAACAGAGGTTTACAGCAGCATTGGAAGAAACTGCAGGAACTTTATCCTCTCACAGAGCAGTAGCAAGGCTTTCTATAACAAATATTTTTAGCTAAGGAAGTATTAGCTGTATTTTAATGGCAGACGCTTAAAGGGATGTGGTGTCCATCGACACAGAGGCCAACACTTATTTCCAGGACAGCTTTAAGCCCTGCAGGCTGAAGCCTGTCCCAGAACACTCCAGAGGCAGCCTAGGTCCCACAGCCCGCAAGGAAGAAAGGCACAGGTGATTCCTGCTACGATCACTCGCACTGTTTATGTACAGAGTAAGTTTATACAGAATAAGTTCATCCTCTTAGCCCCAGCAACCGTGATCCCACCCGTGCACGTGCTGAGCAGCCTGCAGGCAGCAGCGCCTGCCCGGGAGCTCCCCAGGCTGCCGCCGTGCAGCAGCGGTTGCATCTTGTACGCTGTGACGCACAAGATCCCACCTGGATGATCCCAGCCATATTCCAGGCTTTGGAGRGCATCCAGGCAGGCGGCTCCTGGCTGGGGGAACTTCCCACACCAGAGCGGTGGGAGCTGCAGTGCACGTAGGAACTGGGGAGGCRCGGGAGGCTGCAGCGCAGTCCAGGCCACTGCACAGAGCAGCTCCCAGTTTTCCCAAAGGGAAGGCAGGAGGGACAGCTATTCACTGTCACTGTCGCTGCTGTCACTGCTGTCGCCATCCACCTGGATACTCTCCAGCACCGTCCTGTAGGTGGAAAACAATAGAGACCAGTGACCTGGTGCAAACTTCAGCTTGAAGCCAAGGACAAAACACAAGGAACGTGAGGAGCTGTCTGGTGGCACCGCTCTCATATGACAGGTTGCTCCAGGTTTGGCAGGGGGGCATCCAGCTCCTTTCCAGAAGGCAGGACAGATGAGGGGCAGCTGCCAAGACTGMTGGAATTTGCATTTCCTCATTCCCTGGAGCAGACGGGCAGCTCCCAAGCTGCAGCACCTCATGGTGCTGGCCCAGGGTCTGGGTTTGCATCAGCAACAGAGCAGCCGTGTGCTGGGTACCGTGGTGCTCAGAACCTGCCCCTCGGCCTCCCTGGCCCCACACAGACACTCACGAAGGGGCCCGAGGACGACTGTTCTCGAGAGGAAGCAGGGACCAGAGTGGGGCGCTGGGATCAGCTCCAAGGATGGAGCTACTGCCCTCCCAGGCAGGCTGGCACCAAACACCGAGGGAGTTTTTGCAAGTGAACCCAAGCACAGGGACTGTCAGCACAGAGGGCAGCGTTCACGGACACAGACCCTTCGGAAAGCCAGGGCTGTCCTTGGGAGAAAAGCCACAGCAAAGGAACCACCACCCCTGCACCACCCCTCGAGCAGGACTGCTCCAACTTACTTCTGCTTTTCAGAGAGGTCAAACTCCTGCTCTGTTCTGCTTTTGAGCTTCGGAGTTGAAGGGAGGCCGAAGGAGGCTGCCAGCTCTACCAGCTTGATGGCCTCCTCGGGGCAGTTGGTTTGCCTGGCACAGGTCAGGAACTCATCCATCACCTGCTCGCTGCGAGAGCAGCAAGAGAAAAGAGAACAGGAATGTTCCACGGGACCCTCAGCAGGGGCTTTGGAGAGGGAAAGGAGGTGACAGATTTTCAGGTCACTCARTCAGCCCAACTCTTCTCCTACCAGGGCTGTTGGGAATTTTACTTTGCTGCAGACAAATCTGGGAATCCTCCTGCAACCCAAAAGCAGGACCTTGCTCTGCGGCACAGAGGCAGACACTGCTCAGAGTCAGGATCTTACCCCTGCAGCAGCCTAAATAACCCATCTCTGCAGCCCCCGTGTGAGACCCTGCCCCTCTTTTATGGGGCTGGCAGAAGGAAGCACCAACAAAGCAACCACCACTTCAACCATCATCTGCACCTCTGTCATGCTTGAGATGCAGGAGGATCTCAGGACATTTGTATGAGTTGAACCAGGCCCCCGTGCTCGCAGGGACAAACACAACTGCACGTTAGCACACGCAGGGCACTGASATTCAGATGCCTCCTTGTTCACTCAGCACGGGAAGTCAGAGCCCAAATGTACTCACGTGGGGATCCTATTGATTTGCTGGAAATGCTCCATCACGGTCCTGTTCAACAGACGAAAACAGAAAAAAAAAATAAATAACTAAAAGAGAGAGGCAGATCTCTTGTAMAAACACCTTCTGCCTTGCCTACGCTCACAGACGCAGTGTAAAACCATTACAACAGTATGTTAGCTGTAGTAATTTCTACTACATAAAAAATAGTGTAGCTAGTGAGAGTTCTAATTTAGAATTCACCTATTTTTAAGGAGGTACTTGCCACTTCTTAGTTCCAAATGAATCAGTGCAAAGACATTATCTGTATTTAATGGCAAATGGGTCATAACCCAAAATTTGGGACTAGATATTTCAATCAGTATTCTGAATTGAAAGCAAGTAAGACAGAAAATTCTTGCTTCTAAGTTCTAAAGAGTTCTAAAATACTTTTCTTTACAGTATTAGTGTTAACTGTAGTTAGAAGTTTAATTAAAACTTTAAACTCTTAAGGAGTTCTAAAAATTAGAAATTAGGAAGTTCTAGGAAATCAGCAGCATGTACAAGTGATAAGCAGCCCCTGCCCTGCCCGGAGCAGCTGCAGGACGCTCCAAGCCAGTTGCTACATTTACTTGTAAATCAATTTATACAACGGGAAGCTGCAACTCGGTGCCAAGAATGAACAGCCAAATTAAGATGACTCTCCCTTTATCCCTCCAGTCAATGACATTCCCAGCAGGACTTACTCCCTGCTGTTGTCTGCACTGGTGTCCCAAAGCAGTCGCTCATTAGCTTCTGATTTTCGTGATTACAGCTTGAATTACAGTGTGAACAAGGGAATTACAGTGTGGACTTGGGGCTCCGGGGGGCCGCATCCGTACCAGGCATCCTGGGTCCTGCCAGCCCTGGAGAAGAGCACGACGACGTGGCCCAGGGCGCTGCCCGACCATTGCAGCGGCGCCTGCTCCCTCCCGCTCTGCTCGTGGGCAGCTTTAATGTCTTCAGCACACTGGGCAAATGCCAGCTGGGTCTGTAAAAGATTAGGCTGTCAGCGCCCAATACATTTGCAACAGGCTCC